AGGTAGGGATCTTTGAGTATTACAGACAGAGGAATGGGGAAATGGACTGGGAAATGTGTGATTAATGTGTACAATTTTTGTTTGTGCGTGTGTGCCTTTGAGTCAGTTTTTGACTCCTGGCGACTGCCTGGACAAGTCTCTGCAGTTTTCTTGGCAAGGTTTTGGAAGTAGTTTGCCATTGCCTCCTTCCTAGGGCTAAGAGAGAGTGACTGGCCCCAAGTCACCCAGCTGGCTTCATGCTTAAAGCAGGACTAGAGCTCATGGTCTCCCAGTTTCTAGCCTGATGCCATAACCACTACACCAAACTGGTTCTCTATATAGATGTGTACTTAATAATTTAAATTACGACCTCTTTCAGTTCTGCAGTCCTAAATCTCTTTTGACAAATAGCTGAATAATTTTTTAAGAACAAGCCTAGTCATATTTAACAACATAAGAGGACTCTGTTGGCCAAGTGAACAGCCCAGATAGTCAAGCATTACGTGTCATGCAGTTGTCAACCAGATGCATTCAGGAAACTCACGGACATGCAAAAGAGGGTGATAGTGCTCCTTAGCAGCTTGTCCTGGGGTCAGTCTGAAGAATTGGAGGATTTGCTTGAAAGCAGCAGTACAAATCAGAATTCCAGTTTTTTTCCATTTTATTTAAAACACAGCAAAGGCAGTTTCATTTCCTCAGCCTCAAGCTTTGCAAATATGCTTTACAGCCAACTCTTGTTCTTTTTACCACCACAGTTTTTTCTTCTTCTTCAGTAAAACAGTATTTCAAAAGTGCAAATTAGATTTTTTTTCCTGAAATCCATCTTTCAGCTCTACTCAGTTATAAGCATCTATGTGCATGCAGATTATGGTACACATTTAACATATGTGTGCACTATTCTAACTATATCCCTACCTACTCTTCTTAATTCTAGAGTTAGGAATTAATGGCAATATTATTTCTTTCTCTCCAAGTCAGATGAACTGGCAGCTGGAGTTGATCTAGCTAGTGATTGTTTGGCAAGTAAAACCTTTGATCTTCTTACACCACCAAAGGTCCTCGGTGGTCAGTAGATTAGAACCTGCTAACTAGTCCTCTTCGACACTCTTCTCCCAGATTGTGCTCTCAAATGCTTTGAGGACTTCAGACCACTCATGAACTAATGAGCCTTCAGCAGTGTAAACACTGCCTAATGCATTTTAGGATCAATATCCACCCTTTCTCTGGATTGAAACCAACAGTCCATCTTCACTAGCCAGTAGAACTATCTAAGTCCATTGAGGCCATTGTCTCCATTTCCCCAAGTTTAAAACTCTACCTGTAATGCCAGCAAAGCGTCTGATACTGAGACCAGCCCATCTGCCCTCCTTCCTTTCCTATTGGAACTGTGTCCTATGGAAATATGCAGTATTATTTATTCTCAGATGCTATCAACAAAGAATTCAAACCGTTTTACTTGGGTGTCTGTATGGATATGTGAAGAGCCACAAGAAGCCACGGCTGAAGGCAGGCTCATCGCACAGCTAGTACTGAATGTACTCTGTCTATTGTTCCGGAGATAATAAACAGCCATCAAATAGTCTTGATGACCTTTCAAGAATTTGTCTAGTCCTTTAAAAAAAAAAACTATTTAAAGTGATGGCCATCCTCACATCTACCTGCAGCAGATTCCACAGTTTAATTATGTATTGTTTAAAGAAGTGCTTATATTTTACGCACTATTTATTCCCTCATATTTAGTTTTAGATTCCCAGTTCTAACAATGGAAGAGAGGAAAAAAGACTTGTCTCTATAGACTTTTTCAATATTGTGCATGAAATATTTGTTTGTTTTTACATGCCTCTTTCCTAATATATGCATCCTGGAAGTATGCAGTCAGACCATTGCAGAGAAAAGTGGGCAGGCTAATATCTGGCCTCCTTTCCTTTCAGATTGCAGCCTAAGCAAGGAAATCAAAGTGCAATGATGGTAGGCCCTCCGACCTAAAAGGTCTCCCTCTTCAGTGCCAGGTGATTTACTGTTAAGGCATCTGGCAAGTGCTACCCTGATATATATTGTGGAGATCTCACTGAAAGAAGAGGGGGAATTTATTATTTGTTTTGTCTACCAGGCTACTCAGTGGTGTGGCAGACTAGGACTGGAGTGTGGAGTGGTGTGCTCTATAGGAATACCATCTTACTGACCAAATGTTCCATTTGGTAGTCTGCCAGTTCTAAGGGCATGATACTGCATTTGGATGGATGGCACAGTATAGAAATATTGTTAATGTACAGTACTATTTACTTACCTGCCTAACAGTCGTTCTTACTGAGCTAGCCAGGGTGATCTTGGATATACAGTATGTTAGGTTACTCTGTGTTCCTGGTTCTGGAAGATTTCAGGATCCACATTATGGTTTCCCAGATAGGAGTGGCTCAGGATTTCATGCACTCTATTACCATTATATTACCAACTAATACTTGGCTCCACACATGTAGCAGAGCATACGTTAGATTTGGTTTTCTGCAGATGGAGTTGGTTTTCAGGTTGGCGGGGACAAGTTGCTCTCTGGCCAGTTTAGATTGATGGCTGATATAAACCTCTGTTTGGGTGGAAGACCCATTAATTCAGTCCAGAGGCTAATGGATCTGAATGGCTTCATGAATGCATTCGGAGAATTTCCTACATTATATGTCAGTGATACTGTTAATGCCCTGGCTGATCTGTTGAAGACAGGGATGACTGAGCAACTGACCTTATTGCTCCTAAGTACCCTGTTTCCTGTCTCAGAACCATATCAGATCTTTGGTTTCCTATGGAGGGAGCTGAGAGAGATGATGGGGATGGGAGGTCAGCTGGAGTACAAGTGGAAGAATGCCAATGATCAATCAGATTAAGTCTGAATGTGGCCAGTCTGAAGACAATACCTATTTTTCTTCAGCAAAAGCAGCACATAAAGTTTTTTCACTGCTTCTACTGCATCTGCACAGAACAGGCCTTTCCTCCACCAAGATATTAGTGGGATGGAGCCAGAACAGTCAATGACTTAACAGTGACTAATTTGCATAATTCTTTGTGTGCAAAGCCAATGGCATCATTATTGACATAGACCCAAATGTTGAGGCAGATCATAAAGGTATAACCTTGTCAATCCTTAGTCCTATTATTGGGGGTTCTTTTTGGCATGTGGAGAGATGCAGGCTATCTTCTGCTTATTTGACTTTTAACTCTCCTGCTAGATTAAATTGAGTAGCATAGGAGCTTCCCACTGGTTAAGGGTACTCCTTGCAGGTGGGATGTGTTCCTCTCTGCCTAAAGGAGACAGTGATAGGAGCTAGGAGATCTGTAAAATTATAGGCTAGTTTCAAACATGCCATTTTTAGGAAATGTAATTGAGAAGGCAGTGGCTTTGCAGTCCACATTCAAATGATTTTGATTTTCTTAATTTCCACTGGGATATGTTACCAGCCCTGCTTTGGATGCCTTGGTGGATGACAGTACCAGAAACTGGGAGTGTGGTGGGGGCAGTCAGACCCTGTCAGTTTCTTGGAACTCTTCACAATTTTTCATACCATTAATCATGGTATACTTCTGGAACACCTGAAAGCATTGGGTCTTGCAGGCATTATATTACAGTGCTTCTAATCCTTACTCAAATGGCCCAAATATAGTACTAGGGGACCCTTATCTGATATTAGGCCATTGTCTCCCTAGGCTTGCATTTTGTCCTCTGTGCTGTTCCACATCTTCATGAATCCTCTGGATCGCCTGGAACTTTAGAGTGGGGACTCCTATCCTGATGATAGTCAGCTATTTTGCTCTTTACCATTCAGCTCCAAGTACTCTAAATTTAATAATGCACAGGATGAGAGAGAAAAGGATGAAAAGAATTGAGACAAAATGTTGTAAGTATGAATCTGGACTTGGGAATTGTTTTGGACAGAGTTGCACTCCTCTTGAAAGAGCAAGTTCAGTCTTCTTAATCCTCAGTTGTCACTGGATTTACTGGCTGCTTTGTGAGACATGCTTTTGCCCAATTACTCCTACTAGTTTGCCACCTGTGACCCTTTTTAAATTGGTTGGATTTGGTGATGATTATCGCCACTTTGGTTATATCCTTGAAATGTAATTTATTATTGGAAAGTGTCCAGAAGTTGCATTCAGTGTAAAAAAATGGCAGCGAGGCTGCTAACAATGCAAAGTACAAGGATCATATGATACTTGTGCTGAAAGATTTGCAGTGACTGCCCATTGAGCAATTAAAAGTGTTGGTATTGATCTTAATTAATTTTGTTTGTTAGATTCATGTCCTGCCTTTCCTTTAGGAGCCTAACATGGAACCCATAATGTTTCCTCTCCCAGGTTTTTCCCACACCAACTCTGTGAGGCAGATTCAGCTGAGAGAAAGTATCTGGTCCAGTCACCCAATAAGCTTGCATGGTTGGGGGGGGTTGAACCAGGGTTTCACTGGTCCTAGTCCAGCCTTAACCACTGCACCAGATTAGCTCTCTTTAAAACTCTGAATGGCTTAGAGCCTGACCACTTACGGGACAGTCTCTTCCACAATGAAACTGACTGGCTGGTCTGATCTCCTGGAGGGGCCCTTTAAAAATACTTCTGCTGTCAGAGGTCCCTTATTCCAACAGGCAGAAAAGTATTTTCTCTTGCTTGCTCCTGGGCTAAGAAACACACACCCTCAGTATTTGGCTTCATTTTCTCAGCATTTAGAAATGAAGACACTTGTCTTTTACCAAACTATTAACTGTCAAATTATTTTAATACATATTTTAGTGTTCATTTATTTTATTATATTTTAAACTATTTTTACTTTAATCTTATTTATTAAATTCTGGTAAGTGCCTTGAAAGATGGGGTATACATTATATAAAGAAAAATGTTTTATCTTTCTCTGATAGACACGTTTCTTTAAGAAATTTAAGCCAGGATCTACACTGCAAAATCTGGAAAAATATGAACAATAACTATGTTCCAATCTACATGATAGTCTGGGAAATTCAAATTAGATCAGTGTGTTTAAAAAGGTGGACCAGATGAAAATGTTAAAACAGGTATGCTTGCAGCTTTTACCTTGCTGGCATGTTGCCCATAGAAGGTGGCTTCTTGGGGAACATAATTCTCCGGGGAAAGAAGCTTCTCCAATTCATGCTGTAACAGTTATTCAAGTAACCCTATCTTGCATTGTGCCCAAATGTATGTAATTTCACAAGCAAAGCAAATTTTGTATCTAACCAGAGAGTTTGCACATCCCAACAATTCTTAGAAGTCCTTTAATAGAAAACTCTCACTTCATGGGATTATGAAGATCCACATTTAAAACTGCTTAAACTTCATTGGATCAGTTATATGGAAAATCATTAATGAATGCTGGTAGTTCTATTTCAAGTATTGCTGTAGTTTCTGCAGCTTTATGTATGCAATGCTTTTCATTGCCAAAATACTTAAAATACTTGATAGTGGGCTAAAGATAGCTACATTATTTGCTCTGGAAATATTGTCACCACATATGTTTATCCCTGAAAATTGAATATACCTGACTATAACAGTATCTTCATAAAAACCCTTTTATGAAAAAAGGAAGGATTGCAGCAACATTTTAGTAATGACAATAATATTAGCTTTAAATTATTATTGCACATAACATTTAGAAAGACTGATAGTTTTGAACTGTTTTGCTTTTAGTGCAAGTTAAATGAGGGTTAAGCAATACCATTTTTCAGAAATTCAGCAGAGAAGGTTAGCCTTATTCAGCAGATGTTAGCACTGTGTTATCTTGATAGCAGTGATCTGCAGATTAAAGGTTTACAGTATATAACTAAACATGAACAGAATCACTGTGACATTAGTGAAATCAAAAGCCATAACTGTCATTTTGAGCTTTATGTTCAGTGGAATAATGTACATTCCATTTTTTAATTATGTAGTGGCTTGATTCCTTTCTATCTTTCTTTCAAAATACAATTTTAAATATGTTTTAGAGCATCAAAATACATTAAAGATTTGGATGTAGCACTGAATATTTTTAACCTAATTGTTAGATTATATGGCCAGAATCTATAAATCACACCAGTGGTCTTTCTCTTTGTAAGTTTATGTGAAAGACTGAGGCAAGCTCATATTTACTTACCTTGGAGTTAGTTTCATTGGATTACATTATTAAATAAGCATACACCATGTTAGAATTCCTAAAGCAGTTCTTTTTGGCATTTTGTTTTAGATGTTATTCCTTTGATGAGAGACTCATTTTTGAAACAGTTTACTAAGAGCCACGTGTATATGAGACTACCAATTTCAGGATAGGAAATGTTATGCAAAGAACAGAAAAGAAATAGTAAGTAAAAAAAATTGAAATCATGGGTAGTAGAAAGGGAAATATAGAGAAATCTGGTGCACATTATTATCATTCACCATACCTCTCTATGCCCTTCTGTCCTTGCAAACAAGCTTTGATTCTACAACATCCATATACTAATTCATTACATTGCCTCTTGTTCTTCTGAACTTCTTAAATTACTCTTTTTGAAAATCTCAAAATTTACTCAAGCCAAAAATACAGAAATAGCTCTAATGACCTATTTAGAGTTTTGCTCATCTATAATTTGGATGGATAAAATATGAGTCATAGTATTCTAAAAAAATTGAAAGCATTATTCATACTTCTTTTACCTGCATTGAGAAATATTTCAATAAATGTGACTCTAGCATGAAGTGGGATAAAGTACTGCTTCTCTGAGTATCAAATAGGCTGAGATGCAAGGATGGATCTTGGGCAGTTAGGCCTGCATTCCAATAATAGACATTTTGCAAAAGATGGAATGTGGGTTGATTTAAAGATTTTGCTGTAAAAATAGAATATCTGCTGTGCTCCAAAATATTCACAGCTAACTTGATGTCTGAAGAATTGTAATTTCAATGTCTGCTGAAGAAGTAATTGTCCCTTAAATTGCTGCATGGAGCTGAACTGACATTTCTAGCTTCATAACCCCTGTCATACTCAAATGGGGAGGGTAAGAATTGATAGCATATTAACAAACAGTACCAAGAAGATGGTATGTGAATACCTCACTCTTTGAGTACGGGACAAAAATATGTTGGCGATAATTCTAGGACATGGAATTATATAGTAATGTGGAAAGTGTTTTTCATTAAGTCAAAATTGCTTAATTTTCAGAATTTATTTGAAGTTCTTGTGGGGAGAACCTCTAGGGAGAGAAGTCACCGGTAGGATGAGTTCTATATTGTTTGCTTACATAGTCTTTTGTGTTAAACTCATACTGTACTGTCTAATTTGGCCCCAAATGGTTAGTGATATACATGGTGAGCTAAATTTTACTTTTATTCTCACTATTGTCTTATTAGTTTCAAGGAACTAGTATCCAACTATTCATCAGGCTATTCAAATGCGCAACTGCATTAAAAAGTTATTTTTTGCATGATTTCTTGTGTTTGACATTATAGATGTGTCAAAATTCAAATTCAATTTAAGAAGTATAGATTTTTTGTTCTATTTTTGTTCTATACATTATTGCATAGTATGGATAGCATATAATATTATGAATCTGTTCATGTGTTTGTTCTTGTTTAATCAAGAGTAAAATCCTGATTTTTGTGAAGAGACTGTAGCAATATCAGAGAAGAAACTGTGTCAGAACATTAGAGAGAGCTATTTGAGTTATTCAAGACAGATGGTGTCCTGCCAGTCTTATGTCCGTAAGTCCAATTGGACTATGTGGAAAATTCAAAACAGATTTCTCAATGTCTTTTTCATTAGTTGAGAGCTGCTGCAATTTTAATCAGTGACTTGTCAGGAAAATAACTTCAGGCATCACATCGCTGCTTTTAATGCCTTCTCCCACAAGAAGACACCTGTAACTGGCTCTCCTCTCACATCTAATTTGGCACACATTTGTTGTACAACAGTACTTATCCTGACCCTAACTGTAATTCTTGCATTAATATTTAAAGTAGCTCTTTAGAAAAGGTACAGAAAAGAAAAGCTGAGGTCCAGAGGAAGAATCACTAGTGACAGCTTGGAGAGGGGGAGAAATATCCTGTACTTTTGAAAGATGGATAAACATATCCAGTGCACCAAACCCTCTGTATTAGGCTGCTACAGGAAAATTAGCACAAGGCAATTTGCATGATTGTTAATATTTTAGGAATGGTTGATTGATTTGTTAGATTTATATCCTCCAGGGACTAAAAATAGTTAGTTACATGGGGATCTCCTTTCATTTTAGGTAGATTGGGCTGAGATAAATTATGGACCTAGACCAATATTTTAGCCATTGTACCATACTGGTTCTCCAGTGATTGCTTATAAACCTTTTGGCATATGAGTTTTTTTTATTTCTGAATGATATTACAGGTAATCCTCAACTTATGACCATTTGTTTAATGACCATTCAAGTTACAACGGCACTGAAAAAAGTGACTTATGACCAGTCCTCACACTAACGATTGTTGCAGTGTCCCTATGGTCATGTGATCAAAATTTGGGTGCTTGGCAGCTGGCATGTATTTACGATGGTTGCAGCATGCCAGAATCATGTGGTCTGTATTTGCAGCCTTCCCAGGGGGCTTCCAACAAACAAAGTCAATGAGGAAAGTCAGATTCACCTAACAACCACGTGGTTTATTTAACTATCATGGCAAAAAAGGTCGTAAAATTGGGTGTGACTCACTTAATGACCGTATTGTTTAATGATAGAAGTTCTGGTCCCAATTGTGGTCATAAGTCAAGGACTACCTGTACACTATGGTTTCATTTAGAGGATTCCCCAAATCATGTCCTTACTTGTTTCTAAATTGTATATGTATACCCATTATATCTGAACTGACAGCTTACAGATTGAACAGTCATTGCAGACCAGGACTGCAAGTGAAGATGAAACCATGGCATGTAGAATTGTCTGAGAATAGTAACTGTTTATAAATCTAAGCACATGA